CATGGTGGTGTACACCTCTGGTTACAGCTACTTGGGAGGCTGACGCAAGAGACTCACTTAAGCCCAAGAGGTCAAACCCAGGAGCACTGAATATGGTGCTGTATTCACACCAGTGTACTCCAGCCTGGGTGAGAAAGTGAGACCCTGTCTCAAAAAAACCCCACAAAAACATTAAAAGTGGAAGGGGAATAATAGTGTAGTGTTATGGATTGAAGTTAAGTTGTTACCAGCTTAAAATAGACTTTTGTTAAGTATAAGATATTATAAGAAGGCCTCATGGTAATCATAAAGCAAAAACCTACAGCAGATATACAAAAGATAAAGATAAAGGAATCAAAACCTACCACTATAGAAAATCCTAAAATCACAAAGGAAGGCAGCAAAAGAAAAAGAAAGGAAAAAAGGATATATACAAAACAGCCAGGAAACAATTAACAAATGGCAATAGTAAGTCCTTACCTGTCAATAATTACCATAGTGTAAATTCTCCAATCAAAAGACATAAAGTGACTGAATGGATAAAAACAAGACCCAAAAATATGCTGCCTACAAGAGACCCACTTCACCTGTAAGGTCACACAGACTGAAAGTGAAGGGATGAGAAAAGGTATTACATGCAAATGGAAACCAAAAGAGAGCAGGCTAGGCATATCTATATCCAATAAAACAGACTTTAAATAAAAAACTGTAAAATAAGACAAAAATCAATATATAATGATAAAGGAGTCAATTCATCAAGAAAATAATTGTAAACACATACATCCAACACTGGAGTACCTAAGTAATATAAAGCAAATATTAATAGATATGAAAGGAGAGATAGACATCTATAAACAACAGGAAACTTCGATACCCCATTTTTAACAATGGATAGATTTAAGCAGAAAATCAATAAGAAGCACTGGATTTGAACTACACCACATAGACCTAATAAACATATACAGAATACTCCATCCAACAGCAGCAGAATACACATTCTAATCAAGTACATACAGAACATTCTCCTGGAGAGATCACAGCTAGACCACAAAACAAGTTTTAACAAATTTAAGAATACTGAAATAATATCAGGCATCATTTCTGACCATAATGGTATGAAACTAGAAATCAGTAACATGAGAAAAACTAGAAATTAACAATGTGTGGGAATTAAACAACATGATCTGGAAAACTCAATGGGTCAAAGTAGAAATCAAAAAGAAAACTTAAAAAATATCCTGATACTAACAGAAATGGAAACACAACACAGTAAATTTATGGGATGTAGAAAAAGCAGCCCTAAGAGGGAAGTTTATACTAATAAACATCTATATTAAAAAAGGAAAAATACCTCAAATCACCTAACTTTACACCCCAAGGAACTTGTAAAGAAGGTCAAACTAAACCTAAAGTTAGTAAAAGGAAATAACAAAAATCAGAGCAAAAATAAATGCTCTGATAGGTAACACAATAGTGAAAAGCTAAAATCTTTTCCTCTAAGATCAGGAACAAGACAAGGATGTCCACTCTAATAATTTTTATTCAATATAGTACTGGAAGTCCTAGCAAGAGCACTTAGGCAAGAAAAAGAAATAAAAGGCATCCTAATATAAAAAAAAAAAGAAGTAAAATTGTCTCTGCTGGCAGGTGATATGCTCTTATACACAGACAACTCTAAAAGCTACACCAAAATATTACACAACTAAGAAACAAATTCAATAAAGTTTCAAAATACAAAATCGACACACAGAAATCAGTCACATTTCTATATAATAACAGCAAACTATATGAAAAAGAAATTAAGAAAAAATCCTATTTATAACAGAATAAAAAAGAACAAAATACCTAGGAATTTAACCTAAAAGGTAAAAGATCTGGACTCTGAAAACTATATAAACTATTGATGAAAGAAACTGAAGACACAAATAAATAGAAAGGCATCCCATTCTTTAATGAGATGAATCAGTATTGTTAAAATGTACAAACTACCCAAAGCAATCTACAAATTCAGTGTAATTTCCATTAAAATTCCAATGGAATTTTTCACAGAAATAGAAAAAAAGCATTAATTCATATGGAACCTCAAAAGATCCCATATAGCAAAAACAATCTTGGGCAAAAAGAACAAGGCTACAGACATCACCCTTCCTGATTTCAAATTTTATTAACAAAGCTAAAATAATCAAAACAGCATAGTTTTGCACCAGCACTGCATTAGTGTTTCAATAGTTACATAGTCTCACCAACACTTGGTATGTGGTATCTTTTGAATTTTAGAAAAAATGCAGCTGGAAAAGCTGGAAGAAGAAGAAGAAGAAGAAAGAAGAAGAAATAATAATTAGATCCTTAACTTATACCATACACACAAAAGTCCATCCAAAATGGATTAACAAATTAAATGTAAGACCTAAAACTATAAAACACCAAAAACAAAACAGAAGGAAACTCCATGACACTGATCTTGGCAATATTTTTTTTGTATATGATACCAAAAGCACAGGAAATAAAAGCAAAAATAAACAAGGAGGCCTACATTAAACTAAAAGGTTTCTGCATAGCAATGGAAAGAGCAAATGAAAAGATGACCCACAAATGGAAGAAAATATTTGCAAAATGGATTTCTGATAAGAGGTTAATATAAAAAAGATATGAAGAATTTATACAATTTAATATGAATACAAATTACCTGATTTAAAAATGGGCAAAGGACCTGAATAGACATTTTTCCAAGGAAGACATTCAAACTGCTAACAGATACATGAAAAGATATTCAACATCACTAAACACCAGGGAAATGAAAATCAAAACCACAATGAGATATCACCACATACCTTTAAGGATAGCTATTATCAAAAAGACAAAAGAGAACAAATATAAACAAGGATGTGGCAAAAAGGAAACCTTTACACAATGTTGGCAGGTATGTAAATTCGTGCGGTCATTATGGAGAACGGTAAGGAAGTTCTTCAAAAAATTAAAAATAGAACTGCCATATGATCTAGCAACCCCACTTCTGGGTATATATGCAAAAGCAATGAAATCACTATCTCAAAGAGATATCTGCACTCTCATGTTCATTGCAGCATTATTCACAACTGGCAAGATATGGAAGCAACCTGTAACTGTCAATGGATAAATGAATAAATTGTGGTATATACAAAATTGAATATTATTCAGTCATAAAAATAGAGGAAATATTGCCATCTGTGACGCATGGATGAACCTGGAGGAAGTGAAATAAGCTAGACATGGAAAGACAAATACTGCATGATATCCACTTATGTGTGGAATCTAAAAAGTCAGACTCACAGAAACATAGTAGAAGGGTGGTTACTACATGTCAGGGAAAATGCGGAGAAGTTGGCAAAAGAATACAAACTTGCAGTTATAAGAGAAATAAGTTCTAGAGACCTGATGTACAGTTAATAATAATGTACTGTACACTTGAAATTTTCTAAGAGAGTAGATTTTATTTTAAATATTATCACACAAAAAAAGTAACTCTGTAAAGTGATGGATATAACAATTAGCTTGCTTGTAGTAATCATTTCACTATATATACATATATCAAAATATAATGTTGTACATCTTGAATACATATAATTATTATTCATCAATTCTACCTTGACAAACTAAAAAAAAACTCTAAAAAAATTAAAAACAGAATTATCACATGATCCAGCAATCCCACTGCAGGGTATTTATCCAAAAGAATTGAAATCAGGACCTAGAGGAGAGATGTGCACTCCCATGTTCACTGTAGCATTATTCATAAGAGCCACGAGATGGAAACAAATGTCTATAAACACATGAAGATATAAAGAAAATGTTATATAAATACAATGAAATATTATTCATCCTCAAGAAAGGAAGAAATTCTGTCATATGCTACAACATGGATCAACATTGGCATTATGCTAAGTGAAATAGCACAACCAGAGAAGGACAAATACTACTCAATACTCCACTTACGTCTCTTAATAGTTAAATTCAGAAACAGAAAGTAAAATGGTAGATGCCAGGGGCAGACTAGAGGGGGAAATAGGGAATGCTGTTCAAAGGATACAGAGGTTCGGTTATGTAATATAAAAAACTCCAGAGATCTACTTTACAACACTGTTCTTACACTTAACAATACCAGTTTATACACTTAAAAATTTGTTAAGAGAGGCCAGGCCCAGTGGTTCACACCCATAATCTCAGCATTAATATAAGTGTGAACTACCATTTTTCTTTTTCCTTCAAGTTCCAGGGTACAAGTGCAGGATGTGCAGGTTTGTTACATGGGTAAACATGTGCCATGGCGGTTTGCCGCACAGATCAACCTCTCACCTAGGTATTAAGCTATTATTATTTTTCAGTGTTCATAGATGCAATGAAATTAAACCTTACTGAATCTGTAGAACCTCTGTTTCTGACATCAACAGATACTAAAAGCAAAACCACTAACGTAGAGGTCTTCAAAAACTCATTCTCCCAAGCTTACCACTGTAGGCTGCTTCAACTGATATCTTCGGCTACCAAATAAGTACATAAGAAAGGCTAAGTATAGTACTAAGCATTCAATTAACAGATGTTCCACCACATGCTCCTATTTCTCTGTCATGGCCTTTCATTATATTCAAAATCACCCTTTTTCTAAGCAACTGCCAAACCTGTGCTTTGTGTTTTCTTATACTGTTCATATCCCAGAATAGAATTTAAAGTTATAAAGGTAAACAAAGTCAAATATATTCCATACCTAGAAGAGCTCTGTAAAAGCTACTTCAGTTAAAAGTTGAAGTTTTTTGCAAATGTAAGGTAAGATTACTAAAAGTGTGATTCCTAGTTAAGAGTAGCATTGCCAGTCTGTGACTGACCTGAGGAAAATTGTTCACTGCACATTGAGGTTCCTACAACTGCTTTTCAATAATCCTCTCAGAAACTGAACTTAACAAATAATTTTCGTTATAAAATACACTATAAGAAGCAGAGCTATAGTTATAATAAACTGTTGGTTGTTTAAAGGTAATTTAGTTTACCTCAAAGAGTTATTCTCTGCTTTTTGTCTGCCAAGTTCACTTTCAGTATCCATTGCCTTTCTGGCTAGTGATTTCATTTCTTTTTCCACAGTGCTTATGGTTTCCTTCATCAAAGTCATATTTGACATTTGCTCCATACGTTCATCATCAAGCTATACAAGTAGAATGACAAGGTTACTGACATCACTAAAAATGCCTTAGTAATCTTCCTAAAGGGACATATTCCCTCTGTACAAATTGGTTTATAGCAAGATTGACGTGATGAGATGATCAGGTTAGACCTGACTGCTGTAGAAGGTTTTATGGATAAGGTGTTGTGAAGTGGGACCAAGAAGTCACTGCAAAGCTTTTCTATAAAGCTTATCACAGTATATCAGTCTATATTTTTCAGTCTGGTTCAGTTTTACTATAGTATACATATCCTATTTGCAAAAGGATTTTTTTGCCCAAAATTAATAAATTATGTAGGATTACATAATTGTACATATCATGTAGGATTATAAAAATAAAAAATGTTTTCTCTTGTCTAGTATTTTTTTTTTTGAAAGGGAGTCTTGCTCTCTCACCCAGGCTGGAGTGCAGTGGCGCATTCTTGGCCCACTGCAACCTCCACCTCCCAGGTTCAAGCAATTCTCCTGTCTCAGCCTCCCAGGTAGCTGGGACTACAGGAACATGCCACTATGCCCGGCTACTTTTCATATTTTTAGTAAAGACAAGGTTTCACCGTATTAGGCTGGTTTCAAACTCTTGACCTTGGGTGATCCACCTGCCCCAGCTTTCCCTAAGTGCTGGGATTACAGGCGTGAGCCACCACGTCCAGTCCCTGTCTAGTCTAGCTTTTTATTCATTATAAATATAATGAATGATTCATTTATAAATATATTCTATTTGGTAATAGAAAGTTAAATTCCCTTAATTATGTTTATATAGTGACAATATCATCAACACATATTCATAGCACATAAAATCTTTAGGAAAAATGTGATGTTTCACATTTAAACTCAGTTTAAATATATTTTGCTTATAATTTTTACTTCATCATAATTTTCTCTATCTTATCCATTCTTTAGGTAGAAAAACCCATTTTCTTTCCATCTGGCAATATTATCTTTAACAAAATATGGAGATGAGAAGGTTGCTAAGATCCCTGAAAATTAATTCCTAATGATTTTTTTAAGTACATACTTTGCAACCTAACAAAAACAAAAAAAAATTTACTCACATTTTTAGAAGGAAATAAGCAAGTAAAAAAGTGACAATTTACACCATAAAATACCTTAAGTATTTTAGGACTATAAACACTATCTTAGAGAAATAAAAAAAACTTCTCTGAACACAGAAAAAGGGGAAAGGGGGAAGTCATTGAGTGTTTATAGCCAGAAGAGATTTTTTTTTTTTTACATTATGAACTGTACACTCCAGCTCCTCTATCCTTTGTTCCAGGTGAGCCTTCTCATTAAATGCTGTCTCTTGAGCAATCTGTTTAAAAAGCAAAAATAAAATGAATTCAATATCCCTGCATTTGTGTTTCACATATGTTCACATAAACAAAATCCTTTCCAACCTTTAGCCTTTCCCTTAGACTATCTCGTTCTGTGGTCATTCTTCGTAAATCAGTGAAGGCTACATCTCTTTCAGTCTCCACTCGCCGAAGAATAGCATGTGCTGTTGTTGATTTAGGATTCTTACAGCTTTTCATCATTTCTCGTCGAAGTCGGGCAATTTCTTCCTGTGCCTATTATTGAAATCATAGAATTTGGTTTAACAAGCTTTAGAAAACATAAATATAGCCATCTTATATCTAGGCAGTAAAAAGGCAAACCTACCTCAACATGCATGCAGCAGGGTAATGGTATGACTTTTATTTTAAAATGAGTTTATACAAATAAATGAAAATGGATTTATTTAAATAGAAGTTCATGTTACAATATCTTTGCCAAAAGTTTAAACTAAAATTAATTTGCAGGAAGTCATTGCAACAGAGAATGTTTTGCTAAAAAATATATTTGGTATACTCTATTTATTCATTTTGTGATATAAATTTAAATTCAGCACAATTTAGGCAGACTACTGGTTTAATGAATATTATCATAGTGTTTCAGTCTTTCTAAATATAAATGTATATGCCATTTCTATGTCTTGATTACTTTTACTCTGACAGAAAGGCCCACCAATCCTTACTGATAACCCAACATACTCTTTGCACATCTGTTCAACCATCCTTGGGTACCAAATCTATTCCACACCTGCAGATTATTTAATATCCTAGTTTGCTGCACACATCTCCTTATCTTCCTTCCTCTTGATTTTGATCACTGTCTATTCAGATAGTCTCTAAGCCTCAGAGGAAAATATGTTACTTCTCAATTTACATAGCTAAGCCTTCACCAGAAGCCCAAGCCTCATCTCCTAAAATGTCTTCTACGATCTCCCTGACTCAATTATAATTATTTCTTCTCATCTTGAATAGCACCCTCTTCACTGGCACTTTCTCCCCTGCCTTCTGTCATGTACAGGGCTCCCTTATCTTGAAAACCTGTCACTTGACCTGCTGACCCATTTACCATCCTATGCCTCTTCTTCCTTTGACACATTAAAAAAGTCCCATGGTAACTATTGCCAGTAGTTCCTTACCATCTACTCTATCATCCCAGAATAACCTGGCTCACACCGTCCCACCCTCTGTGGAATTTCAACTAAAGACCTAACCAGATATAATGGCCTTTTTTCAGTTCCTGTTCTCCTTGAGATTTCAGTGGTATCTATTGCTATTTACAACATCCTTCTTCTTGAGATTCCTTCCTCCCTTATAACACTGTTCCTCCCTAGCTCTCTGTCATCTTTGTCTCTTTCAAAGGTTCCCTCTGCCTCTTGAATATTATATATTGACTTTTCTGCTCTTCTATGTACAGCTTTCTCATTCAGAGACTTCATTCACTCTGAATGCTCGAAACTCACCTGTAAGCAGATGACTTCCAAAGCTACCTATTTAACTCTTGCCTCTCTCTACTCCAGTCCCACATTTCTTACTGCCTGATGGCAATTATCACTAGAATGTGCTACCATCATCTTACTCTTTCTGTCTGAAAACAAACTCACATCTCCTCCTTCAAACCACCAATGACTCTCCTATTTCTCCTTTTATTATCACAATACTGAGTCATTCAAGACAGAATTTTAGTCATTGCCATTCAATCCTCCTTCTTCCTAAAATCAAATCATGTCAAATCTTCCTTCACAGTGTCTTTTGCATCTGTCCCTGTATTTATTTCCATTGAAAGCACCCTTGCTTAGTTCCTTAATGTCTTATATGTACACTACTGTAACAGCCTTCTAAGGAGGAGTCCATGGTCTCACTCTCCTCCAATTCTCTCAAAGGAGAAATTGTTATATAAAAAGATAATATAGAAAGATTATGTGAGAAATAAAAAATTGTCACAAGGTTAAAATTGTAAAAATGCTACTTTGGTCATATTTTGCCTTTAAAAAAAAAAAAAAAAGATTGCTGCTTATAAAGCAAAATATAAACTCCATATAAGGCCCACAGAACAGGCTCTACCATTTAGTCCAGAAGTCAGCAAACTATGTATAACTCACAGGCCATCTCTAACCTGTCTCCTGACTTCGTAGGTTTATAAGTGGAGAAATATTTTCACATTTTTAAATGGCTGGGGAAAATATCAAAAGAATATTTTATAACAAGTAAAAATAATGTGAAATTCAAATTTCAGTATCCATAAGGTTTTACTGTAATACAGTCAAAGTTATTCATTCATGTATTATCCAAAGCTGCTTTCACCCTACAACAATCACACTGAATAGTCACAACAGAGACCACACGGCCAGCAAAGCTGAAGATATTTTTTGTCTGGATGTTACAGCAAAAGTATAATACCATTCCTTTAGTCTGGAATGTTCCTTTTAGCCCCTTTTAGGATAACAGAAACTTCACTGGTTTTTCAGGGCTCAAACGTCATATCTTCTAACAAAGATTTCCTTGATCACCATATCTAAAAATGCCCACTTCTTTTATTTCTTACAATATATTCTAGACCACTTTAGTAATAAAAATCAATAAATACAATATACTTTATCTTCCCAACTAGACTGTAAATTTATAGAAAAACATGATCAGCATCTTATCATTTTTCTATTCCTTAGAGTAGTAAGCCTAGAACCCTGTTATATAGTAGCTATAATTCGTTAAAAACTTGTGATACTTTTAAAAGAAGTTATATGGGTGATTTATATGATTTAATACTTGTTAGGTAAAGAAGCTATTTGATTAATAAAACCTATAAAATTTTAAGCTAGAAAGCAGAGATAAACTAAACATTTATTTTATTCTCAAAAATTAAGTTCCCAAAATGATAAGGTGGTGTGAGTTTTTGAACTCACCACACTCTATCATGTAATGCTTTCTCCATAACTTATTCCCAAAATAAGACTATTCTTATGCATGTGTGTGATCTTTTTTTGGTTATGGAGACAACAAATGTGTGTACTCACATACCTCCTGTGTTGGAAATGTATTACATTTCATTAAGAATATCTTAAAAACATATGTAATTCCCAAATGTTAGACTAATTTGATTGGCAGGTTTAAGCACTCTCATAGATCTCAAAGAAGAATTACATACCTCTAGAATTCAATGTTATTACTTACATAATTTGTTTATTATAAGTTTACCTGTTCATAAAGAAGGAAGGTCTTGTCTCTCTCAGATGTAAGAACCTTGACATTACCCTGAATTTCTGCCAAATGGCGCTCATATTTTTCCAGCATGCATTTAAGCTCTTCACGATCTCTTGTTGTTGTCTTCAAAAGTTCTACATCACAGTTTGCACCCTACAATTATGTAAGGAATTTGAAATTCTTCTTTGATATATAGTACTGATAGAAAGGTGCTCATATAGAAAGGTGCACTGATAGAAAGGTGCACTGGTGGCAATGCACAATTTCTACTTAAGAAAACAAGACTATATAATGAAGGGAAATTATAAAAAATAAGCTTAAAAACCACATCTTTTTAAAACAGTTTCATTCCAAATTTGTCTGATTACCTCCCAAGCACTACTTATGCTGAGGATAAAGAACCAATATCAGTAGTCTACTGTGCCATCAAAGAGATCTCTGTCCCTCAACCCCTTTGATATAGCAATTCACACCAAATCAAAATGAATTATTTCCAGATTAGGTAAAACAAAGAATAAAAGCTAGTGTCTGAGCAACAAACTCCAAAATATTTGTAAGTTTCTAAAACCTACCCGGGCAGTTGGTGACAGGCGTCTTGGACTTTTAGACCTACTTCTCATCATCTTTCTTAAATTTTGAGCTTCACTCTTATAGTAATCTCTGTCGGCTTCCAAAGTCTTGACAAAGGAATCAAGTCTAGAAGGAGATTTATTTTGTGCTTTTTCAGTCTCTAAAATTATCTTGCCAAGGAGGGAAAAATTAGGCCATTATTTCAAGATAAACTATAGCATCATTTTCTTTGTAAAATTGAAAACAAACAGGATCCTTAAAAACATTTAATTTGGTATTTTTAAAATAGAACATTAAAAAAATTATATATCCATAATTTTTAAAAAGCACTTAAGATATCTTTCTTTTCCAGCATTTCTGAATATGCTATATTTTAACTAAATGCACCCACCCTTAAATTTGCTCAATAATTTTGGACAAAAAAATGGTAAAGATATTTTAGAGAGGCCAGAAATGTCCACAGACCTAGCAAACATCCTATAAATGGAATGGATTTGCTTTAGAAAAACATATGCTATTATTAAAGCATCTGTTATAACATCAAAGTTTTGTCTAATATTGTTCGATGAATGAATAAATTAACTGAATGCTTGATATTCCATATTTGTAAGCATTCCCATGAATTTCCATTCACTTTAACATATTTAGAAACACTTCTTGGACAACATTTACTTAACAATACTTTATTGGGAGAAAATTATAGATATACTTACAGACAGAGGGTTTTAAATATTTTAAATAACATTAAAATGTTTAAACAGAGCACTTTCCATTTCACATTGTTAGATAAATAAAACATTGTCTGGAATTATGTAACAAAATGTATAGCTTAAAAATATTTATTACTAAGGGGGATAAAAGTTAATGTGTAAACAAATATACTTTATATTTTAAGAATTATTCAGTCATCATTTTAAATCAATTAACAGATACGGACATTAATAAAGCCAACCAAAAGTTGTTCTCTGCCTCTAGGAAAAAAAAAGAATAGTGATGAAAGCAGCAAAAAGTCACTCTTACAGATGGGGGTTCCCCTGTGTCCCTAGCAGCTGGTGCAGATTTTAGAAAACAAACATATTTTGTTGCTCACAAAAAGATGCAATTTTTTATACTTTACTGATCAAATAAAAATAATTCCTCAACATATATTTATGAAAAATGTACTTACAGATTTAAGTCTTTTTATTGTATCTTCCAATACTATAATATTATTTTGCTGGCAAATGAGTTCAATCTGAAGAAAAAGTTAAAAAAAAAAAGTATTTAAAGATGCTTAAACTAATTGGGGAAAGAACATTTAAAAAAAAAAGAAACCATTCAAAATAAAAACATGAAGACAATGAATATTTTAAAGAAGAAATAACCTATCTCTTTTGTTTAGCTACCTTCAATGGTAAAAGATAAAATATGATTTACCCAGGATGAAATAATAGCAATTCCCTTAAATTACCCAAAGTTTTGTATAAAATGTTAATTGATAATGTTTTACCAAATTATTCCCCATAAACTGGAACAAAATATTAATACTAATTATAATTCTGAAAATAATAGGAAGCAATAAAAGAATGACTAGAATAAAATAAGTTGACCCAAATTATCCCATTCAGAAGATTGCTTCCTCTTCTGAACTCATTTAATAGCTTAGTTCAATTTAGGCCACAAAATACTTTTTGTATCAACTTATGACAGTGAACATACAAAGTTTTATAGGATAGCTACCTATAGTCATATATTTAGCATATGACTACATTATATGTTCTATAGGACAATGACTAAGTTTTTATTCAAAGCAGTAAATTTCTTTGCCAATAGCATATTCACTTAATATATTTTGAAATTCATCAACCTTTCCCTCACTATTCTAAATTTCATCCTGATCTTGCCTACATTTTAAATTTGAATTTTCTGGAATTATTATACTTCATTTGTTCTTTAGACCAAAGCTCTCTTGCACGATTTTTCTGGCAGTCATATTTTAAAGTTAATGAAATATTAAGGGGTGCTATTATTTGGAACATTTTTCTCATAAGTAAAATAGGAATAGAATATAACTTATGTGCAGTTTGGATAACTTTATAGTTTTGAATAGACAATTTTCAATGTTTTAATATGTACTGCTAAGTAGACACTAAAAAGACATGGTTCTACTTTGAATGTGTTAAGATTTCCATATTAAGTATAAAAATTCACTGTGCAAAACAGAATCTCTAGTATGACACATTCTTATACAAAATAAATTTATACACAGACATCCTACATATAAACGTAACCAATAATACATAAACTGAAGATTATGTCTAGGTATAACAAGGTATCATTAGGATAGATGTTATTTTCTTCATTTACTTTTCTATAGGGACTAAAATTTTACATAATAAACATGTATTAATTTTACAAAGATAAAAAAAATGTTGATTCCACTCTGAAAAACAAAATAACTGGCCCAAATGAAAAACTGCTAACCCAGTGTTTTCATTTACTTAACAATTAATAAATGCCTACTACATGCCTGGCATTGTGTTATGTGCTGGGTAAAGCAATGAATAAAATAGACAAAAATCTCTGCCCTCATGGAGTTTACATTCTAGCTAAAATAAATAAATAAATAATAATAATAATAATGATAGTCTAAATATATGATAGTGATTGCACCCCTCAAAAAATAATATAACAAGCACTCATGTTCTAGGCACTTGAGGTAAGTAAACAAAATAGACAAAGATTTCTGCCTTTGGGGAATCTTACATTCCAGCTAGAATAAACAATAATAAACCTAACAAATAAACTATATAGAATGCTAGAAAAAGAAGAGCAGAGTTAAGGATACTGGGAATATTTATGTAGGAACAGGTTGGTATTTTACATAGGGTGGTCAAGAAGTCCTCATTGAAAGGTGACCTTTGACCAAAAACTTCAGAGGAAAGGAAGTCAAACATGAAAATTTGGGAGACCACCACTGCAGGCAAAAGTTACAGCTATAACAAAGGTCCTATGGCAAAAGAATGTCTGGTAGGTTCTATGTATGGAGACTGGCATGGCTGGAACATAGTGAGGAAAGGAAAAAGGAACAGCAAAGTGTTACAGAGAAAAATAAAGCAAGGGAGAAAGATATGGAGTATGTGCAGAAAATGGGGGGGATGGGAGTGGGGGACAAAAAAAGACTTTACACAATGTCTTCCACACAGCAGGCTCTGAAATATTTTTTATTGAATCACATAAAAAAGTAACAATAATAAGGACTATCAGAGATTCAGTCCAATGATATAGCCCCTATGTCAATTAAAAATATAAATTGTATGAAGAAACTAATAATGGTAAAATTATAATTCTGCTTCACATTTCAAAATATCACGTTCAATTATCTGGTAAACACCATAGTAATGCATGAATGATAACTCAAGATGAGAGAATAAACAGAGGCATATAGTTGAGGTTGTTTTAATGTATGTCCTTTAATGTATGTTTTAATGTATGTTGTTTTAATATTAGAAATTCTAACATTCCTTCCTTCAAAAGCTGGAGCTTAATTTCCCTCCCCTAGAGTGTGGATTACACTTGTTGACTCACTTTTAAAGATGAGAAATTGCAGGAACTGACGAGATATAACTCTTGAGACTGGGTCATACTAAGCATTGCAGATCCTCCTTATTATCTCTTGGATTGTTGGCTGGGAGAGAGGGGAAGGTGGAGGGAGAACAAGCTTCCACAAAGAATACATGGAGCAACCCTAGAGAGAGGTCTACCTGGCAAGGAACAGGCCTGCTTCCAATAGCCAAAAGCCATCTGACTGAGCCATCTCAGAAGTAAATCCTCCAGTAGCAGTCAAGCCATGCTGTGGCCATTATCTTTTTTGTTTTCTGAAGCTGAGTCTCACTTTGTCACCCAGGCTGGAGTACAGTGGTGTGATCTCTGCTCACTGCAACCTCTGCCTCCCGGGATAAAGCAATTATCCTGCCTCAGCCTCCCAGATAGCTGGGATTACAGGTGCCCTCCACCATGCCTGGCTAATTTTTTGTATTTTTAGTAGAGACAGGGTTTCATTATATTGGCCAGGCTGGTCTTGAACTCCTGACCTGAAGTGATCTGCCCACCTCAGTCTTCCAAAGTACTGGAATTACAGGAGTAAGCTACCAGCCCTGGCCATTATCTTGATTACAATTTCCTGAGAAATAGTGAACTAGAACAACCCAGCTAGGCCACTCTTGAATTCCCAACCCAAGAGCCTGTGAGATATCAATATTTGTTGTTTGAAGCCATTAAGGTTTTGAAGTAATTTATTACATAGCAACAGCCAATAGTTAATAGTGAAAACATTTTAATGAAGTAAATGATGGAAGTTACTGTTGACCTTTAAAAATAAGACTAAAAGTAAATAACTCCCAGTGAATACATTTAATACTATCTTAATTCCAGACAAACTAACAGTACCTTTAGCCTCAGACTCTACCTCTGCATATCTAGAGTATAATCTCAAACACTAAAAACCCATTCTTTTCTCAGCAACCAAATTAGAAATCACATTTCAAGTGCTACCCTACAAATAGGAAAGGAATCTCTCCCCCATAAATATAACCCTAAAATGCATTCTTAGGATGATGACAACACTCATTGGAGTTCATATCCCCAGTGTTGGTTATGCATCTTTCTATTCTATTCCCTATTCTACTCTGGGACATTCACCGAGGTTGGTGATTTCCTCATTTCAGGGCATTCTACCATCCTAAAGGCCTTATTTCCATTTTGTTCTCTCTTTATTGTTTCCCATGTTTTCCCTGTGTCAGCAATGGTATCTCCACTCCAAGACTGCTGCTTACTGCTTTTTTACCCAATAGCTTTCCAATCCTCAAAAACACCCAACATTCCAAATTATTTATGGATATCTATTTCTAAATACTCTGCTAAGCTGGGCAAAATTCCATCTGTAAATTTAATACAGTTTTAGGTAAATCCTAGCTCTTATATTTTAGATGTTTTCCATTCCCCAAATTCTCCCTTTTGATAGCAGAGAATCCACCCTGACATAGTACTTACTCTCTCTAGAAGATAAACCCTAACAACCTTTAAAAGTGATGACTTCTAAACAAGGCTTGGTTTCCCTCAGTCTGGAAAGGAATGCAGGTAATTTTTAATTTGAAGACAAAAACAAGGAAGACATAAAATTCTTCAATTTTGATAATTTTTTTTTTTGAGAGAGTCTCACTCTTTAACCCAGGCTGGAGTGTGACACAATCTTGGCTCACTGCAACCTCTGCCTCTTTATTCTTGTGTCTCAGCCTCCCAAGTAGTTGGCTTACAGGTGTATGACACTATGCCCAGCTATTTTTTTGTATTTTAGTAGAGATTGGGTTTTGTCATGTTCACTAGGCTGGTCTTGAACTCCTGACCTCAAGCGATTCACCTGCCTGGGCCTGCCAAAGTGCTGGGATTACAGGCATAAGCCATCATGCCTTGCCCAATTTTGATAATTTTTTATAATTAAGACAGATTGAGCTCAGTTTATGATTAAAATGCAAATGAAGGATAATTATTCTTTAAAAAAATAATATTCTACCTGAAGTAGCATTAAAAAAATAAGTTAAAAAAACTTTTAAATAAGTTAACAATACAAAGGTGTATTGAAAAATGTTTAAAATATTCAAGCTACTTTTCAATATCCTTCAAATACTTTAATAGCATCCATTTGAAGATAAATAATTCAGAAGTTAAAACCAAACCATTCTTATCTAGCATTTCAATTAGTTCTAAGGACCTGTTTCAGACAACATAGTTAGAGAAGACTGTATCCTTAAAGTAATAAACTCATGTATTTAAACACTGCATTACTATGGCCAGGCACGGTGGCTCACGCCTGTAATCTCAGCACTCTGGGAGGCCAAGACCAGCTGATCACTTCAGGTCAGGAGTCCAAGACCTGCCTGGACAACATGGTGAAACCCTGTCTCTACTAAAAATGTGAAAATTAGCTGGGCATGGTGGCGGGTGCCTGTAATACCAGCTACTCATGAGACTGAGGCAGGAAATCGCTTCAGGAGGTAGAGGTTGCAGTGAGCTGAGATCGTGCCACTGCACTCCAGCCTGGGTAACAGACAGAAACTCTGTCTCAACAACAACAAAAAAAGTTGCATTATTTGACTTTCCACTGATTTGAATTTATCCTTTAAGAGTCTAAATGAGAGGTTACTGAATAAAAATACATACACTCCTAGAGTTCATCAATTGGACTCAAATTTCAAA